GAGAACACAGTCCCTTAACCAATGGCATTTTTTCATACATAACTTGCCCTTAGACATTTCATCATCTGAGTCACAAGTACGCAGCTCATTTATCTTTCTGCCTTCAAGAATGAAAGCATGTAGGTCTTTTGTCTGAAAAATATTCAACAATAATGCTCATTAAACTTTGAAAACTTTATGTTCTATTCTATATCACCGTTGGGCAGAAATAGAATAAAACATCATTCTTCTACATTAATTCCACATCACCGTTGGGCAGAAATGGAATTAACGTATAGAAATTTAATAATCTTAAAAGCATAGAACTGCTCCTCAAAATTAAATTCTCCCGTTGGTTCGAATTTAATTAGAAGACAATCAACTTCATTGCAGCGGAAAATACATTTCTCTAGTTTAAGAGCATTCCTTGATCTTTATCTTTTCTCTGAAAAATTGGTCACTTTGATGCAAAATTCATCAGAGATTTAAACTTTAAACATAAAACTCATAGAATTATAATATTGTTATCATCAACGTTGGTCAGAAAATAACAATATCATAATTCAACTTTAACCTTAAACTCATAAATAAACTTATAATATTGTTATCATCAACGTTGGTCAGAAAATAACAATATTATAATTTATCTTAACTATCAACCGACTATTCCTCCAATTAAAATTTTCCAGCTCATTCTAATTTTAACTGGAGGATAAACTTTTCATCATTTACTGAATAACTATAACTACTCTTCAAATTAGAAGACAATAAACCTTCAACTTTGCAGCGGAAACTTGACAAAATTTCTTTTCCTACTTTTCAGAAGCATTTTTACTTTACTCATCTGTTCTCTAAACAAATTATCACGTTCGGTCAAATTTGAGTAGAGATAAAACATTTAAACTTAACTTTATTCATTCAAAATAGCTTCTGAAAATAAATAAAACAATTCTTAATAACCATTGTGCATTCGGCCCAACCGGAGATACGGCCCGGGCTCATTCTTTTCTTTTCTCGGCCCAAGACAGCAGAGGCTGGCTCGGCCCAAAACGGCATCCAGCCCGGCCTTGCTCCCTCGCGCGCGTGCTCTGCCACCCAGGCCGCAACGTGGGCCTGGGCCGGCAAAGCGCCGCGGCCGCGCGCCCCGCCTGGGCCACGAAGCAGCCCGCTAGATCTCGGCCGTCCGTGCGCATCCGACGGCCGAGCGCGCATCTTGGGCGAACAAAACCACCGCCCGACGCTGCCTCCTGTAACCCTAGCTTCATTCTCTCCCTCCCCTTCTCTCTCATCCGCGCCGAGTCGGGGACAAAGAAAGCGTTACCAAGGCGTCGTCCGAGGAAGTGGAGGTGGCGGCGCCGCGCGGCACCTCTCGCCGGCCGGCGGCGGCGTGAGGCTACAAGCAAGCACTGCCGTCGAGGAGCCACGGTGGTGCCTTTGCGAGACCGAGCCCGCGCGGTGGCGTAGCTCGGCCGTCTTCCCGCACGCCGGCGAAAAGTCTCTTTTTTCCACGACGGTGGCGATGCCGACGGCGGGATAAAGGCCCAGGTAGGACCCTGTGTTCGTTCTCATCTTTGCTGGGATTTGGGGATTCTAGGGTTAGGGTTTCGGGTTAGGGATTCACCCTTTTCTTCTTCGTCCCCGAGTCTGCAGCGGGTTAGGGTTCGGATCAAGCAGTCTTGAAGCCGAGCCCCTTCCGTCTTCACCCAGCTAGGGTTTAGGGTTCGATGAACCCTTTGTTTTCTTTTCTTTCGATCCGAATCGGATCTAGCTCCGTTCTTTTCTTTGCTGTTATCTTGATTCTCTTCCCACGCGTCAGCTAGCCGACAGTGGGTACTCCATCCCGCGTGAGGCGGTAGTGACGGCGGCGGGGAGGCCCTGGTAAGACTTCCCCCGAACCGCCGTCCATTTCTTTTCCCTTCTGTTAGGGTTAGGGTTATGGGTACCCCTCCCCTTTCTCTCTATTCTTTGCTAGGATTAGGGTTTCTACTTCTTCCGATTTAAAAACCGTTCATCTTCCCCACGCGGTTCTTCGTTCTCTGTCTAGATCCGAACGGATCTAGTCTATCTTTTCTTTTCTAATCGGTTTCTAGCCCCTGACAAGATCCACGCCTAGGTAAACCTGGCTTTGATACCATTGTCATATTTTCTTTTGATCATCTAGTAGTGGATCCAGTGGGATTTCATTTTGTTTCTCGTAGTAATGGTGTGAACGGAGAGGGACAGAGAGGGAGAGGAAGAGCTAGGGTTAGGCACTGACCATCCAGTGAGTAGGGGATCCGGCCATCAGGTTCATCGGTGAAGTTCTGCGCTAGGCAGCGACGGTCGGAGAAGAGAGAGCGACGCAGTGAAGACCGTGGTGACGCAGTGCAGTGGCGGCGGCGGTGCTTCCCGTCACTGGCTGCGCCCCTCTGTTAGATCGGAGTAGGGTTTCTAGGTGGGGCGTATGGCTCAGGCGAACCTCGTACAGAGAGCCGTCGACCCCACCTCTATTTAATGCGCAGTGTGACGGGGGCCCGCCAGCCATAGATGGACTGGGCGCCCCCGATCAGGGCGCGAGGTCAAGGCCCAAGTGGCCGTTGGGCCACTGTGGTTGGGAGATCAAACCAACAGAAACATCCCAACTATATATCAGTACAGTCCCTAGAAGAATAGATGGAAATACTTGTGTGCTCTTACCTTGGCTAGGAGATTGGACAAATCCATGATGCAAAATCATATTTCTCTAACTGAAACTCTGAAAGGAAATTACATCTACTTATGCTGACAGTCCAAAGACAATTTTATTAACAGACCCATGCAACCATATGCACTATTTAACTTAAACTTGCGCTCTGAATACCATCTATAGAGAAAGCACACATCCAAAACAGCATAGCACTTCACTTATGGTGAAGTCAGTGTGTCATACTTGGATTGATTAATATCTCTCGACCATGTAAACAGTAATTTTCAACAACATTCGCTAGCAAAAAGAGAGAGAGAGAGAGAGAGTAATTTTCAACAACAAGCACATAGAATAGTTCAGTCCACTAGTAGATGCTAGCCTTAGAAAATACCCTTAGATTGTTTCAGGAAATAACATCTGCTTCAAGGAAGCAAACTGCCTACAGAAAATTCATTTGCCAATACAGATTTATCTTCAGAAGTTCCTGGAAACAATTGCCAGCGTTGGAATTCACCATTATAGCTTCTTCTGATACTTCCTGCACCACAGTTCCAACAATCAGGAGAATACATATATATAGCAGCAAGCTTCATCAAACAAGCTCATGGGGAGTTACTGAAACATCCTATAGCTTTGTACATCATCACATACTGTTCACGGTATGCAGAAAGCAAGGACCGGGTGATTAATCAATCCACAGACCTGAAGGGCAGCGAGCGGCCGCTGGAACAACTCGCGGTGCCGCATTCCAACATCCAGGAGCGAGGTCTGAAGATCGGGCGAGAACGAGGCCAACCTCCTCCCCCTCCATCTCCGTCACCGTCACCACAGCCGTGGCCGCGACCGATGGGGATGGGAGCTGCCTCTGCTGGGTTGTTGCCGCGACCGAAGGGGTGGGGGAGGGGCGCTTTGATGTTGCCGCCGCGTCCAACTGTGGTGGAAGTTGTCGCCGCCGCCGCGGCCTTGATCTTCCCCACGAACGCCACGCCCTTCAGCTCCAACGCTGCTGTCGCGCTCGACATTTAGAGCCCATTTGGCCGGGCTCCCGCCGGCTCCACCTCCCACACTATAGCGCACTGTAGCACGCAGGAGCTGGAGCCGGGGGAGAAAAAAAAACGAGCTTATCCGGCTCCGGCGCTATCCGTGAGAGAGGAAAGGAGGAGAGAAAAACGGATTTGATGAACAGTGTCGCTACAGAGATGAACACGGGAGGAGTAAGAGGATCCGGAGCCGCCCGGAGCCTGACCAAACGGGCTCTTAGATCCGCTCGGGGGAAGAAGGACGAGGAAGACATACATGGTGGGAGAAGATCAAGACCCCTCCAATCGTCAACCGTATGCTGGAAGGAGCCCCTCCTCCGCATTCAATACTCCATCAGTCCATCTACCGCCCTGCCGGCCAACCAGCCTCCATACATGCTTTTCGACCCTCTCTCATCCACGTCAGATCCACGGTGTCCTACTTACCAAGCCATGTCTACATTTCCACCGGCTTTTCCTGTCCCAATCTCCACGCCCGCTCCCATTCATGTCCGTTCGATCATGGTGGGTACCTCCCGCCGGTTATACCAAATCCGGGTTCCATTTTTGTGTATCAAACACTGTCCTTTTTCACTGACACTCTGACAGTAGTTTGTTGGACCGAATTTACACGGCATCGAGCAATTAGGGAGGACATTAAAAAATGACAAATAAGAGAAAATGCTAGTGAGTTAATCAGGCATCGGTCGACTGACTAGGGTGGCCTGAAAATGAACCGAGAAAGACTCACATATTGGCTTCATCGACCAGAAATTGCCGGTGACAAGCAACCATGCATGACTTTTCCATGTTCCTTGTCTAGTGCTGTGGAGATGAAATATTCCTAGGCTGTACAGTAATTCACCTTGTTTCCCTGCCCTTGTTTGTTACTGCACCATTCTACAATTGATTTTCCACGAAACTTCAATGCAACTCTTCGAGCTCTATCAACTTAATGCCTGTTGGTCTATTCCATTCAAACATGGAATAAGTAGCTAGATATTCTCATTGTTGACGAAGACTTCTTGACCAAATTTTCCATTGCAGAGACCATCATGCACACATTCCCTCTCAAAGCCTTGGACATCACTGTATTCTCTTTAAGTTCTCATCTTACCACGCTGTGCGATTCCACCGCCCCCCCCCCAAGACATATCTATACACAGGAAGGTGTCCACCATTCACGACTGCAATTCAATCAAAGGTAGGTTCTTACCCCCATTAAGCCAAATCATTGCCTGTGATCCAAAGTTCTTGTATCTAATATCTCATTATTACTGTTGTATGTTGAATATCCTGAACACGTAGGGGATATTTTTGTAGATGCTTCAATCCTAATGGCAGAGATTGTTGGTTCTGCGGTTGTTCAGGAGTCAGTTAGCCAAATCCTATCTGGTCTGCTTCAAAAATATGAGGAGAAACACAACTCAAATGCGTTCAGAAACCTTGAGAGGCTAGAGATGGCACACATCAGGCTGGAGGCTGTTCTTCAGACATCTGATAAGTGGGATATCACTGATACATCCTTGTTGCGTTGGCGTAGGAAGCTTAAGTCTGCTGCTCAAGAGTGTGATGACACGCTGCACAGATGCAGGCAGAGAATCCTAGAAGATGAACACATAGAAAAGGAAGTAAGCAATTCCTCCGTTCCTAAGCGGGTTGTGCATGCTACCAGGTCATTTGTTTCTTCTATCTTTAACCACGACAACGATGACTTGAATATATCCATTATTCAAAGATTTGAATGGTTTGCTGATGGTGCTAGCGAGTTTCTGAGATTACTAGAGCTTGGTGGCACGCCACGGTGTCACATGCCCTTTGACCCTCTTATCAGGCACCTTTTTGCTGGCAAGATACTACAACATAGAATCATTAGGGCAAACAAATGCCCTTTGTTTTTACAGTTGGCTCCATTTTTTAGTGCAGAGCATGGAATTCAAGGTAGGCTTTACTTCATGCAGAAAGATCCTAATGAGCCGGATGATGATTTTTGCTTTACTGTAACACTGCAGCTTTCGGAGAGTACGGACATAGTTGGGGTTGCAATTCAGTGCTTACATCTGTTTGCCCCTATTTTCATGTCTACGGTTGAAAATATTAGGAAAAGGCTTATGCAACTACCTACAGAAGACTTCTCGTGGGTACCATATGTTGATTCACACCAGAAAAAACATTGGGACAATGTTCACAGATTTGGCAGTCAATGGTTTCGCCCAAACCCATTATGTTGCAAGCAGCATGATAAGAACAAACCCATTATGTTCAGAGAGTACAGACATAGTTGAGGTTGCAATTCAGTGCTTACAGCTGTTTGACCATCTTTTCAAGTCTACAGTTGAAAATATTAGGAAAGAACTTATGCAACTACCTACTGAAGAATTCTCGTGGCTTCCATATGTTGATTCACCCCAGCAAAATTATTGGGACAATCTTCACAGGCGTGGCACTCAATGGTTTCGCCCAAACCCATTATGTTGCAAGCAGCATGATAACAACTTTTTTCATGGTAGCAGGCTAGACAAATCATCTGGATTTCCATATGTTTCTCTAGAACAGGTTATTCATGTAAGTCTATCGTGCCATGTCTCACTCTCAGAGTGCGACAAACAGAAGGCCTCACAGTCAGACTGTAGAAGTTTTCTACGTGATCATCCATATCTGAGAGCTGGAGTCGTCTTTGCACCACATGGCTCTTCAGAAGACGTGTTGCTTGTGGATAAGTTTCCTGCAATAGCGGCAATGTACAGTGAGGAGCAACATTGTTTGCATACTGTCTTTACCTTGGGACAACTCGAGGAGATCATGCTGCCAAAAGCAGTAGATTACTTCTGCCAGAATGAGGAAGCTACAGTCTACCAGATTCTTTGGAGGTCTAGGCATGGCACTGCATACATTCTGGTTGAGAGAGCAAGCATGTTCATGCCAAGCACACGACAAACGTTTCATGGAGCTAAGAGAAGGAAGCTATTGCAAGGACAGGATGAGATGTTGGAGTGTGTAACATATAGGGCCTCTCGATTCTTTGAGTTATGGGCTACATATGCACCCATCCAATTGCATGGCTCGATCAAGGACTCGTATGAGGAAATAAAAGGAAACAGAAGCAGCACATCACTGCCACCTGAAATTCGTGATCACATCTGTACCATGGATCCATCAGCAAAAGATGGAGAAGCCATAAAAGAACGGAGTGTTCCATGAAAAGATAGAAGTGTGGAATTTACTGTTCATAACAAGGAACAGATTTGTCAAAACAACAGATCCAGTACATATATTTTCAGATCTTGAATTTGGGATAGATGCTCTGACTACACGGTCAAGACAAAACATAGAAGCAGAGCTACAGCACGGAGGAATTTATGTGTTACTCACTAGCTAGCAACTTGTGTATAATGTTGGTCTTAGTTGAGAACCCTGTTCTGAATTAGGAATGTATGTGAGCATTCTGTATGGTGGTGCTTATATATTAATCATGATCGTATAGTGGCTGTCCCATGGTTACAGAATTGCATTGTACAAATAAGTATAAGATGCAACTGCATTTTAACTACCGTTTTTGTGTGTAATCACATAGTACGGTTACCTACTACATTCAAGAAATTAAACATTAAATTTTTATATGTTTATTACTTATGAATTATTCCTTTATTATTGAATCCAGCAAGTTTTAGTTTGATGAGAAACTGTCAATTCTATAATCTCATGTCGCCTAGGCATTGGCACTGGGAAGGCGGGATCACTACCGGAAACAGTAGAATTGCCGAGTGCCTTAGGGTTTGCCAAGTGCATTCCATCGGGCACTCGACAAACATCCGATTTACCGAGTGTTTTAAATGAAACACTCGGCAAACCTACAGCACCCGGCAAGACCCAACTTTGCCGAGTGTCTAATAAAAAACATTCGGCAAACTACAACGAAACACTCGGCAAACACGGACACTCGGCAAAGTAGATGCACGTGCGTTGGGCGTGCGGCGGCCATGTGACGGCTGTTGGGTGCGTCGTCCTGCCGTTATAACTTTGCCGAGTGTCCAGTAGAGACACTCGGCAAAGCCAAGGTTTGCCATGTGTTTTTGGCTGACACTCGGCAACCTTATATTTTTGCCGAGTGTTTTTGTTTGACACTCGGCAAAATGACGTTGTTGCCGAGTATTTTTTATTGGCACTTGGCAAAATAATATTTTTTTCCTCTCCTGCCCTCTAAATTTTTTCTACTCTCCACATACAACATGTGGTACTACATGTTAAAATTTGGCATATTTCTCGATCTGTTTGCTATATTTAATTAATTAATTGCATTTAGAGGAATTTTTTGGTTTAAGTCAAATTTGAACTACAAGTGATTCAAATAATGGAATAAATTGAGTGGAGAAATCATATTCATGTTATTGAGTCCATTTTGGGGCCTTACTCCAGAAATGAAAAGAATTTTCGAATATTTTGTTCAGGAAACACGACCATGAACGTGTGGCCGAATGGTTTTTAAATTCTAAAAAAAGCAAACGAAGTCTGAAAATCATGAGATTTGTCAAAATCCCATGATATCATACGTGGAGACTGTGAAAAAATTGAGAAGGTTTCGCACAATTTGTCACGTACGATCTTTACAAACGAAGTATCTCCGAAGAAGAATCGTAGCGTTGAGAAGGATCCGGTAAGATTTGTAGTCAAAGTGACGGTTGAATTGAGGTTTGACTTCAAAAGTTTTTGTATAGGCAATATACAACATAGATTGGTTCACGTCAAATTTTGGTAATTTTTTGGATCCGTTTGATAATTTTAATTTATTAATTGCAATTATAGAATTTTAATTGATATAAATTGAATTTGAGCTATAACTGCATTAAATAATGGATTAATATTCGTAGAAAAATCAAATATGCATTGTTGAGTGAATTTGACAAGGTATTTTTAAATTACATTGTAACAAATTTAGTAGAACACGCTATGAAGAAGGAGGACGGTGGAGCATGAAATATCGATTTATTTTGCCGAGTGTTTTATACCTGGCACTCGGCGAAACTAGCAGTTGCCGAGTGTCATATAGGGGACACTCGGCAACTTCGTCGACCGGCCCCACTGCACAGTATCGAGTGCCCCAGATCTTGGCACTCGGCATATCTATACTTTGCCGAGTGCTGCCAATCTTGGCACTCGGCATACTCCTTCATATGCCCCCAACGGCCCACACCACCGGCCCTCACCCTTGCTCACACAACACACCCTTCACACACACGACGCACCGCACGCCGCCACCCCCCGCCGCCTCCCCGCCCCACCGCGCCCCGCCGCCGTGTCGACGCCATCGAGAAAGCCCGCTGCTGCTCCGAATTTCGCCGCGGCACCGCCCCGTCTCGGCACCTGCGCCCTCCGCCACGCCCTTCCGCGGCACCGCCCCGTCTCCGCGCCTACGCCCCCACCGCTCCGCAGGACGCCGCGCAGTGCCTCTGTAGCGCCGTGCCTCCGATTCCGGCCAACTCCCTCGCGGGGGCCCTCTGTCGGCCGGTGCGGCGCGTACAGCCGCCTCGCTTGCCGCGGCGCGGCGCCGCATCGCCTCCACCACCTCCCCCTCGCCGCCTCGCCCTCGCGGGCCGCTGCAGCGGCACTGGCCGCCTAGACGCCCCTTTCGCAAGGTAAGTGGACCACCACCCTCACCCTCCCGCCTCGGCGGCACCTGTTATTCAATTGTACTGTCAATTCTAGTGACCACTGAGTATTGAGGTTTCAGTTATTCAATTGTTCTATGTCTTTTCCTACATGTTATTCAAAGATGTAGTCTAGACCTGCCATTAACCACTGTAAAGATAGGTGATGCATTTTTGGTTTTGGATCTTGTTTTCAGACTAATATTTTATTTGTAAGGAAAAGAATGACAACAGAGCCAAAAGAATACTGGGCTATTCCTACTTACAGAACTGATAGATTTTTAAAACAGGACAAAATGATAAATGTCAAGCTACTTCATCTACCACCACGCATGAACTGCGTGTGACATAATGAAAACATAATTAAATGTTTGTAATAGGTTTCTTTTCCTTACACTCAATAGCCAGCCCTATAACCTCATCCGTTTTCTTGTCAACATACCCTGGTTCAGAGAAGTCAATGGATAACACGCGTGCACATCTTCTTCGGTTTTGGTTATCATCACAAATAAAAATCTGGACAGCTTCCTAAAATTTAGGATACTACATAACTGTGCTATTGTTCCTTGTTTTCTTATTGCTAGCTTTCGAAAATAATGATAACAAAAGGGTGGGATAGCAGTAGACAGTCGTGCGGGTCTCATCTAATGTAGATTAGCTGGAAGGTATAACTCTTACATTGTTCTGAGCCACGTGTTACTCCGGCTTACTATGGTTTTTAAGTTCGTAGTTTTTCTCCTTTTTAAGAACCATCATATGTTTTTCCCTGACGGTAAAAAAGACTGATACCGAAAAATGCTATGATCTCATTCTCTTTGTTTTTTTCCTCTATATACAAGGACGCGTCCCTATATACAGTACATATCCTTACTCTTGGAAGTGGCAACTGCAAACTTTCGTGTAGCGAATATAGAACTTGCTGTCGTTTTGCAAGGTATAAGATGTGTATGTGGTTGTCGGCCATTGTGCCGTTTGTTACCAAGTGTATGTGTTTGCCGACCATCGTGCCGTTTTATTTGTTGTAGGTTTTGGAAACCTCCCCGCGCAGGGGAGGTGCTGCCGAAATTTAGATTTGACACTATTATGTTCCATGCCCTCAACAGTAGCAGCCACAGGATAGAGGAAGAAAATCGGTTGAGGATGGAACAAATGTTCCAATACATGCAGAATTTTGCATCGAGTATGGGTCAAGCTTTGCCACCGCCACCGGTGCTATTCCCTCCACCTCAGCTACCCACAACTACTCCTGTGAGTCACTTGACATCTTATACTGCAGATTGAATACTTTGACTTAGAGAACTTTAGATGTTAGCCTCAAGACCCGGACTTAGAGAATTGGGGTGCTGCATGCTTGCTCATCATCACACAAAAGCATGATCCAAATGGAATGCATGCTAGCTTTGCTAGAAGCTGGACCAGCTAGCTAGCTATGCTGATATAGCTCATGAGTCATGATGTAAGAGTCAATGCTAGCTTTTGTGACTAGAGAGTATACATACTACTGGCCTGGTTAACAAACAAAAAAAATAGTCTAGTAATTTACAGCCTGTTCGGCTGGGGCTGAAACGATAGTATACAATCGTGGATTATTACTGTTGGCTGGTTTGGTGTAAGAGAAAAATACTGTTCTAGCTGAAAATTTACGATCGTTTACGACCAAGCTAACAGGCTGTTAGTACCTGGATCTGGATGGCATGATCTCCCAGCTGGTATGCAGTGCTGCTACCGCTGCTCCTGCTGCTGCTGCCGTTCCTTGGGATCACCATTGCTGTGAAGATTGTCAGGCACAGGAACAGCAGGAACCCTATCAAATGCCTGCCAGCAGAATAGATCGATGTCAGGTAAATATATACCTGCAGTGCAGGAATTATTGTCTGAAGAAGATGCTGAGGATGGTCTCCTTCATCGGCACTGTTTGTAGTCGTCATGCCTGCAGCACAAATTATTTAAGAGAAAATTTTAGCAAAAAACTAGCAACTCATGCTTGACATTAATTTCAGTAAGGGAGAAGCATTTTGCTTTCCTCCAAGTATGGCTCCCTGAATTAGAATATGCTTATCAGTAAACAAATCTGTACCGGGAAAAGGTAAAGTGGTTTGATTACATAGCAGTCAGTCTGTGCTAAGTGGTTCAAAGAGTTTTAGGAATTTACACTAGTTACCTGTATTTAGGTTTGCTTGGGGGTTCTACCACTGGCGGTGTATTCTCCATATTTGCGGCATCCTCCTTGCCCTCAACAGTAGCAGCCATAGGAGCCTCAACCTTCTTTACTGGTGCCTGGCTAGATTCCTCTGGACACATGAACCAAATAACAGGGCAGACAGTATGAGATGATTGAACTAAAACATAATTATTCTCCAGTACACAAGGCTTCTGCAAACATTTCTCAGGCAAGGTAGCTAATTGGACACATATCATCAGAAAATAGCATGCGCCACATTGCCTGATGCATAGGAAGAACCCAACTCAAGAGCAGCCTTTGCAGTTTGGTATTCTTCAAGCTTAATGCATGCAGCACTGTAAACAAGAAATAACGTAGTACATAGATAAAAATGA